TTTACTGCTGCCAGTTTATACTGGGTGGGCGGATGATCATCATTGATTCTACTCTGTGAAATGTGTCTGTTTTTTAGCAGATGTTTCATTCAGAGGAATGCTCATTTAGGATTAGGCAAAAGCTTAAAAGTTATTCAAGAGCTGTGCTTGCCATTAGGTGATTAACATCAATGTAGTTTATTTTGGTACACTTTCAATTCTAACTCCCTCACCACCTCGAGAAAATGTGTGATTACCCATCACTTTTTACAAATTCTAGATTCAGGTTTTAGATTAGGTCAGATTTCTGTTTTCAGGTAAATGCTTCCACTTCAAAAGGTCAGCATCATATGAATCTACAAGTGTATTAACAGACTGGATACAATGAAAATGATATGCATTTGAAGAAACTGATTTTCCAATAGATAGTCTACTATTAACATTTTATTTCATGTTAGCAATGTTTCAAATTTCCTGATGTTTCATGTTAGTGCCAGTGTTTTTGCTCTAAATGGAACACATCAGTTTAATTCAGCTTCAACCATAATAATGTGAGTGCTGAATGAAATTAATATCCACAAATCAAAGTTGCACACAGAGAAAGAACAGAAGGAGGAATCTCTTGGGTATTACACCCACTCTCTCATATCTGTTGCCAAGTGAAGAGTAACATAAGAGCTTTGTTTGCATTTGAAGTCAATGTCCTCCTCAACTGAGGGATTCATCATCATAATACAAACCCTTTCACTGATCAAACAGTATGCGCAGACTCATTCACGCTGGTGCCTTTAAGGTCTGAGCTTGTGCAGCAGTATAAAAGCAAGATGTTTATAGAAGAATTATCCTAAAATACCATACAGCCTCATGTAAATCAAGCACAGCCAAATACAATTTATAACATTATAAAATACCAGTTGTTTTACCCTCTCTAAAACACAACACATAGTCTAATCTAAAGAGAATATGCACGTGTTATGTAACAAACAACCCAGTTTGGATGTAAGCATAATGGAAACAGTGCGCTTTAGGGCTTCAATGTAAAGCATAAAAACATTACATAGCCTAATTAATTTCAGGGTGATTCAATATTTTCTTACCTTGTTATTACAAGCAATGGTGACCCCAAACTGAAACAGTTTCATTTCAATCATCAAACAAAAAACAATCAAAATCAAGACAAAAGCCTATTTAAATTCATGACAGCCTTCCTCTTTCTGTAACTTCAAATTCACTGCTTAACATATTTCTAAAATATAGTTAATATTTTAACGTATTTTAACATTAATGACTTTAAGTCAGCACCCCCTCTGAACATTTTGGAAATCAGAGGCTTGGTTTTCACTGTACTATCAAACTTACACTCTCGGTTTTCTTGCTAGCTCCCCAAAACGTTTTGCATCATACTTTATTAGAGTTAAGGTTTACTTTCAGCCCTATATTCCTGGTTCAGTTATTTTTGAAATATGCAAGAGGGGGTATTATTTGGTTTTCCTTTTCCCCCACAAAGTAGCTGCAATTACTGCTGAAATTACAAACTGTCAAACTCTCCTGGCCATGGATACTACCTGAGAACTCTCCACATTCTCTTGTCCCCCCAACAAATTAGGTTTGGCTGTGTGTATTTGCTGGTATTACTGTACACCCTACTGTAGGCCTTCATGTACTTGGTAGAAAATGGCGGACATTTATCCAGTAGACCTATGAAGAAACATAACGTATTTAAGCAAAGTAAGCTAGCAAGCTAATTTTATATGTTATTGATTTAACTAAATATTGTATAATCCACAGAATATTATACGGACAGACGATAGTCCTCGATATAAAGGATATAGACTTAAACCATAGAAAAACTTGATATATTCAGCATGCGAGGGTCAGCTTTTTACTTTCGCCTAGAGCTAATGTTAGCTTAAACTATCCCTCCTGAATCAGTTTGAGCAGGCAGAGTCAGGGATACTAACGGGGCAAGAGGTAGGTCGTCTATGTTGTTGTACATTACATTATAGACAGTCTTGCATTTCCCTCCTCTTATAATTAAAAGCTAACAGAATTAATCCATTGTTTTGGGGGGTGATGTATTTTCCTGCCCCTGCCACTAGGTGCTACTAAAGAAACATTTCCTACTCAAGCCTGGCTCTCTTGGACTTAAAATGATCCCAGTCCCTGTTTTTCATCTTAGATCATTCATCTGCTCCTTTTTCTCTGCAGAGCAAATCTTCCTGTTTCCCATCAGCTGTTTCCTGGCCGCTGAACTATCCTGTTTCTCCATTGTTCTCCACGTAAGCAAGCCTTCTTGTTTCCCAGCCAGCTGTTCATCCTGTCATCCAGCTTTCCTGTTCTGCAGTCTGATGACCTCTTCCTCCAGTTCACTTGCACTCTGCAACCCCCTATGATCAGATTATGTGTTTCATTAACATGCTTATAGATAATTTAGCTCTGTATCCAAAATAGTCCTTGCCCACTCTTTTAATAAAACGATTACTTGCATAATTGAAGCTACCGGAAATCATTCTCAAGAAGGATTTTAACATTCTCACAAGCTGCCAAAAAATGAGTTGTAAGCTTTTTTTGCAGTTGATTTCCAATTTGCTTGTTTAAAATTTTGTAACCAAACCAATCCTTCAAGCAAAGAAATAACACAGAAATCATAAAATTCTTGTTAATTTTGTCTGGAGGAGCTATTTGTTTCAATTGCAGTCTTATTGTATAATAGAACACCATAAACCCCTGCTCACTGAATTCACCCAGGCTGTTGCCTCCTCTCATTTATTCATGCTTAGGCTGTAGAGGAAGAATTATGGAAATGACTAGGCTCCTACGCACAAGACACCAACATATAATTGCCAGAAAGTTAGAGAGTACAGCACATTTAAACAGTACAAGAGCCTTCATCTCTTATTCTTACTGTGTCCTTTGTTGAGGAAATTTGTAAGAACTTGACTTCAACACAAAAAAGATTCAGGAGACTCATAGAATACTCACGAGGAGAAATGAATTAACAGCACACGTGTGATACAGTGTCTTGCCAAGCCAGTTCTGTCAGACCGTACCATAGGCTTTGCATATATCCTAAAGATGATACTAAAGTCAGGGCCATGTTACCCTACCTAAACTTAAATGTGATGTCTAAGACAATTGGGAGCAGGCACTAAGTCCACCACTAAGTCCTTGCTTGGCCTAGTCACAGCTCAACCTATCAGCTCTGACTGTTGTCAGGAGCAGGGAATAAGCTAAATAACATCTGTACATCTAAAGAGATACATAAATTCCATCACATCCTTCATATAAAGCGTTATTCTCCCAGAACAAGTGTAATTTAATGTTCCTGAGGTCTGTTCATGTGTGTGCACCTGATGTTTACCTTTGGAACCTGTCTACCAAGCAGGGCAGGCGATTCTTTTCACAAATGTTACGCAAACCCTTCTCCAAAACATGTCTGCTGTTTTAACTCACCTTACATTAAAAGGAATGAGTAGGGTGACATTTCTAATTGAGGGAATACAGAGCAGCAGCATGGTTTCAGCAGCAGCAGACCTTTACAGCTGGTCTTTAACAAGGCAGCAACACACCTGTCAGCAACAATATAAGTAGTGTGACTTTCCTGCTGTGAATACAATTAGCATGGAAACAGCACTGATATTTCTTGGTCTGTAACTTGGTTGTGATGGTGACAATGGCATTTAAACACAGAAAGGTACATTCTTCTAGATGCAGATGCCTGTCTTAACTAATGTGTATAATTTGTAATAATAATGTGTACAAGCTGTCATTTTCTTCATAGAAAACTAAGCTTTAAAAAAAACAAAAAACATTTTTTTAGAGAAACAGAGCTTTAAAAAACCCAGATTGACGGCTGTCAATCTTCACAGACACGGTTGAGAATTCAATGAATCACAACAAAAGTGCTCTGACAAAAAAAACTGTAAACGCTCATTTGTGTTGAAGTATTCGACAGCACGAACAGAAAGATGTCAGTGACAATATCTGTATAGTGTTCTTCTTAATGAAAACCTCTGTCTTCTTGGAAAATAAGTTGTTTGCGGGGGTTTCTATCCTAAAATTCAAACTCCTTATCAGAAAAAAATAGAGAATTTTCCAACAACAGCTTCTTAGATCTTCTTACAATGTCAATGAATATTACAATAAAAACTCAATTAGCTATTGTGTTTCTCTGCAAGCATGTGGAAGGTTGTTTCTATTGCGTTTATCCATTTTACTGTAGAAGACAATTTTTTCTTGTCTTGTATCGCCTTGTCTCGTCTCACATCACATCGCCTATCACTTCACCGTGTATTGTATCTTGAGAGGCTGGGGACTTTTTAAACTAAATACCAAAATAAGTCATCACAGGGTTGAAGGTAAGCAAAAAGATAACATATAACCTGCTAAAAAAAATAAAAATATTTGGCCATATCATAAGTCCAATACACTATGGATTGTGCTGTGTACTCAAAATAAATCATTAAATAAAGAACAGCAATTAAACTGCAAAACTGGATTGAGAATGTAATTACATTCACAGCACAATAGGGAGAAAAACCGGCTCTATGTACTTCGACGCAAGCATCACATGACAAAGCCTATAAGGCAATAGATGTTTGTCAGTGTAAATATAGACTGAAGAGCTCTAAATGACATACAGCACCCTGGTACCTGTTAAATGCACCTCAGGAGTCTAATTCCCTTTCTACAAGAATAGGAAATGTTTAACAGATAAGGCACATCAGAAAGATTTAGATAATTTTAGTAGGATCTGGCTGCTGAGTCGTCCTTTCTTTCCTTCGGTTTTAAAAATATCTGTAAGCACTTGTTTTGTAATCCCATTTGGCCACCATCAGCCTGCTGCCAGCCTTTTTATCTCTGTGTGATGCTTCAGATCAAAAGATATCCATGACATTTTTTGGTAGAGAGCAGCACATGAATCATTTAAACACTTTCACAAATAAGAAGACACAGCAGAGGCAGATAGTTGTATGGCATTGTTTGCCATTTTAATGAATGAACATATTTAATATTAATTCAATGAAAAATAACTAGAAATGCATTTTGATCACATACACATCAACAACCCTCCTACATCAACCCTCAGTTTTTCATGGTCCAACTTTTCCTTTCCTTCCTGTTTGCTCACAGGCATGCTGCAGGGAGCCAACTTGATTCAGTTAACTTGGCTGTCTTTTGTAGTTTGTATCATAAAAACTGCTCTGGGTTAGGCTTTGGAAGGCTTGCATTTCTGCAAAAATGATTTTGGTTTTCAGCAACAGGCCTCTGGAGGATGTAGGTCAGTTTATGGTAAATACAAGGCTTCAATAAAGGCCAAGGACACAAGCTTTGAGCTCCTAAACAAAGGATGTTTGGGGATCTTTACCAGCAGAAAACAACATATCTAAACCTAGAAACTGGTGTTCTATCATAGGCAGTGTTTTCAATGTAGAGCTAATAAAGACCTCAACAGAGGGGAAAATACAATCTGAGTTCACAGTTATTTATACTTTAAATGAAAAAGCACACATTTGTCAGAGCTCTACATACAGTAACAAACAAAACGGAAAGGCAGGAATGTAAGCTTTGATGTCATTCAGTTCCTACTTCCTCTGCAAGTTTCTGACGCTTGTGGTTAAGAAACAGATGACTTTGTTTCACATCTGCATCCAGAAAGCCACTGAAACCTTGTGAGAACTCCTAGAACTGCAAACATTTCCTATTTTACATATACTCCTATTTTAATGAAACATTTCTGTGAATGCTATAAATGAATTCCTTCAGAGACTACGATTGTTTTTTTTGATACCAGAAATTACCTTTAACTAAGCCTGCGTAAATGGAATATTTCCATCCACAATTTATCTGTCAATTTTCAATCCTGAGTGATTAATGTCAATTTCCAACAATATTAATTTAAAATACTACAAAAGTCCTTACACTGAAAGTGGAACTAGAAAGTATTCAGAATATTGCTGAAATATTTAAATTGATATCTCTTAGTGACTGTGTATGAATTGTAAAACCAAATTGTATCAGCACTAACCCAAAAACTCATACAAAGTAAAACAGGCAGTCACAGAGGAGTCTCTCTCTTGTATAAGGCTGCACTGGTGGGACCCTCAAACTGCAGTTTAATGGCCTGTTTCAGATTAAGCTGTGGATCAGCAGTTGTCATTGCGACCATAACATCTTCTGGCAAGGCACTACAGGGTGAGACTGGGGTAAAACTGTAGCAATTAGGTGACAAAATGTTCTTTTGGGGTACAGAATCCCAAGCTTTCCCTTGAAATGGGCTCTGAAGCCTATATGGGTAGCCCAGAGGAGGACTCTCTCGGCCTTTAGCACCTACTCCAGGGTTGTCTTGCCCTGGCATTATCCCGAGGGAGGTCATGACTGATTGCCATTTACCACCAGTGTACGTAGTCCTTTCACCTTTCATAAGGTGTGAGTTTTGTTTGTACATTTTTTCGTGATATTCAAGTCCAGATGACAAACCTTTCTGAGGCAGTTCGTAGTTATGCACCATGGCAGTGACTGTGCAAACAGTGGGAGAGCTGCCTTTAGGATGCCTCTGGCTGCTTCCATGGAGGCTGCCAATGCTTGAGCTCCCAGGTGGGGGGAGGGTTGAGGGACGGCTACGACTGCGAGGAAGTGAGTGCTGTTGGATCTGTTGAATAAAGCTGAGACTGTCAGCTGGTACTGTCTGAACTGTGGCCAGTGAGTGGCAAGTAGATGAGGTTTGTGAGCTCTGCATGGAGTGGAATCGTTCAGCAGTGGAGCCGGGAGAAGATATTGAAGAAGAGGAGGTAGTGGTGGTGACTTCACCACCTGTACTATTTGAGATGCCTGAGGAGTAGTTCCTGTTCGGTTTTATAGGCGAAAAAGTGCTTGTGGTAAACAGGCCCACATAATGCTTGGCTCCATAGCTCTCAAGAAGCCTGACAATGTTAAAGTGACCATGTTTCCCAGCCACTTTGATTGGACTACGGGCATATTTATCCATGTGATCAGGGTTTGCTCCTCTTTCCAGAAGCATTGCAACAATGTTAGCATGTCCCTCCTGGGCAGCGATGCTCAAAGCTGTTGCTTTCTGGTGGCAAGAAAGGTCTATAATGACACCATTGGCTTCCAGGAGACGGCGCCCTACTTCTACATGTCCTGTCCAAGCCACTGAGTGAATTGGTGGCCTTCCCTCTGTATCCTGTGCATTAGGGTTTGCCCCATGCCTTAAAAGTAAGTCTACCATCTCCACAGATCCCTGCCATGAAGCCACATGGAGTGCTGTACGACCTTCAGGGTCTTTGGACTCCAGGGGCACCCCACCTTTCTCTATGAGGAGTGTAGCCATTTCAAGGCGACCCTCTAACACCAGGAGGTAAAGCAGAGGCCTTCCCTCTGCGTCCCGGACATCAGTATCAGCCCCTCGCCTCATAAGCAGGTCTGCAACTTCAGAATGGCCCTCCAAGAGGGCAGCACTCAAGGCAGAATGTCCATCATACGCCCTGTGGTCAATGGGAGAACGTCTATCCAACAACAGCCTAACAGTGCTCCAGTGACCTTCCTGAGCAGCAAGTATAAGAGGGGTGCGTCCTTCAATGTCCATCTCTCCAACCCGTGCCATGCTTCCTCGTTCAGTCAACGCAGCACACACAGTTCGATGGCCTTCACAGGCAGCAGCATGAAGTGGAGTCCAACCAAGGTCATCTTTGTGGTTCTCATCCAGTCCTCGGTCCAGCAAGGAGCGAACAACCTCAACGCTGCCTCTTGCTGCTGCCAGGCAGAGTGCTGTCCTGCCTTCACAATCAATGGCATCAACAGCTGCTCCCCAGAAAAGCAGCCTTGATACTGTCTTCATGTGCCCCATTGCTGCAGCTGCCAACAGGGGAGTAACAGCAGCCGCAGCGGGGACATTGCCATCAGGTCCAGCTGTCTCATCTACATCAGCTCCAGCTTCTAGCAGAATCTTGGCATATGAAACCTGACACTGAATGAAAAAAACAATGAAAATAATGTGCATTTATAACCATTTTCTGATTCACTGTAGATGCACAACAATGTAAAGGACCAGGCTCCCTAAATGCCATGAGGGACATCATCGAGCAGCATGTTTGTGCCAAGAAGGTCGGCATGTTCGAGGAGGCTAGAGATGCGATGATTTCAAATCTGCAAAAACTAATGGTATGTCATATTTCATAGTTCACCGTAAAGCCTGGCTCACACTGTAGGATAATCGGGCCGATTTGAGCTCTGATTCTTCCTTCCTGACAATCGCAGGGTCGCTCCCAACTCAAGGCTGCTCGGAACCGATTCTCTGCTCAGATTATCTTATAGTGAGTGTAGATCTACCCGGCGATCCTCGGGGACGCCCCGATTCATTTCAAACATGTTTGATATTTAGAGTTTAAAATCTTGACGAAACGTCATGAAAGAGTCCGGCAGAAGTTGTGTGTGACTGTAGTCATGTCGACTAGTGGCAGGACGTAATTCTGCGTTGTTTTTTTTTTCAGTACAGATCATCAGTGCAGCGCTTTTCTAAAACTTGTATCCATATATCTACGATTTTATCTACTTTCCTCTATCCTACAACAACTTCCACTTCCTTCTCTTTCACGGACCGCCGTCCGTTGGAGTATTCAATTAAAACTTTATTACCAATTGTTAACGCTCCGTCCCGATTTCACTCGTACAGTGCGAGCTCTCCGGCCGTGCCGGACAATCTGGTCGTAGAGTGTGAGCACGTACATTGCAAGGTCTGTCTGGCATCATAAACGATTCAGTCCTACAGTGTGAGCTGACATGCCACCCCGACTTTTATACAATCAGGGAAAAATCGCACAGTGTGAGCCAGGCTTTAGACACCTAATACGGTGCTAAAAATAGTAAAATGTGTTTTGTTACAATAATATTCTTTATGTATGATTGAATTGAATTGAATTGTTTCTTATATAAAAGTGGACTGTGCATCATTCTGAAGGTCTGTGACTTCAGTTTAACAAAGAAGCAACTTCTATTAAAAATGAAGACGAACACAAAAAAAGCTTTATGTCTATTAATTACATTTTTGCTTTCTGAAAGAAAAAACACTTTTAAACTGTTGATAAATGTATGATCCAGTAAATTTAAAAAAATTGCTGGTTACTTGTGTTAAATATTTTATATCTTATTTAGGATA